TTATCCTTAAGAAATTATTAGTAATGCTCACAAAAATTTATGTACACTTCAGCACTATTTAAAACAGTAAATAGGTGGCAACAACTGAAATGTCCAATAATGGGGAAAAGGTTTAATAGGCTTCAAAAAAGAATATTATTTACATTAGAAAATATTCATCAAAATATTAAATTTTAAAAGACTACAAAACAATACACAGCTCTAATAATATATACATATAAATGTATACAAAAAAATGGTAAGTTATAAGTAATTTTATTTTCTTTATATTTTCCATATTTTCAAAATTATCTAAAATGAACACATATTACTTCCCTAATGAAACAAAGATTTTAAAAGATAAAAATCACAAAGAGGAAGAAATCGATAAACAGTGGCTCAAACAATAAAAACCTAAGTTGGCATGGACTCCATTTAAAACTTCTGATACACTAGGCCTTTCAGACACATTTGCATGCATAGTATACACCTAATAGTTTAGTACTTATAACCATTAGAGATATATTCTATGTTCATATATACCTTTCACTCTCATTATTGCTTAGTTTAAATACACCTCTTTAAAATTTTTTTTAATGTTTATTTTATTTTTGAGACAGAGACAGAACATGAGCGGGAGCGGGGCAGAGAGCAAGGGAGACACAGAATCTGAAGCAGGTTCCAGCCTCTGAGCTGTCAGCACACAGCCCGACACAGGGCTTGAACTCATCAAACGCGAGATCATGACCTGAGTTGAAGTCGGATGCTCAACAAACTGAACCACCCAGGCGCCCCAAAATAGACCTCTTTTAAAAAGGGGAACTCAGATACTCTGCAGCCTCTTAAGTGAATTTTTAAAAAAGGCTCAGAATACCTCAGAAAGTGATTTTCATCATTTTACTAAACCACCTTAAGCAATGGTTAAAGAAAATATAAATACACTAAGGAAAAATACTCGGATACCTGATATTATGCCTAACAAATATGGCTATGAAAAAATAATGCTATTAACTCGGCAGGTAACTACTGCTAAGCCCTGAGGAGACAAAGATTTAAAAAACAAAAGCAAAAATAAAACATGATCCTTGCTAATAAGAAGTTGACAGGCCAAAATTCACCATGACATAATTTAGTCAGAGCAACCAACTTTTATGTATAAGCAATTTCATATCTAAATGTATGAATACAAATTAATGAGATTAAACATACTGACTGCTGAAATGCATACCTGAACAATCCTCATTTTCTTTTACAGGTAGGTGGGACCACTTCAATATTTCTCTTACTAGCTGATCACACAATCCTTGAGCATCATTTAAATTATAGCTATAGATGTAGCAGTAGAAAAGAGAAAGATAATAGCGTATCTGAAGAAAACATGTCCTTCTTCCTCCTTAAACAAGAATTAAGTTTACATTAAAAACATGTTAGCACAATTTGACAATAAATTATATTAAAAAATAAAAAGGTAAAATAAACTAGATTAAAAAATAAAAACAAGTTAGCAAAAAAAACAAAAAAACATGTTAGCAAGGTAATGTTCTTTTTTTTTTTTTTTTTTTTTTTTTTTTTTTTTAAGTTTATTTATTTAGGGGGCACCTGGGTGGCTCAGTCAGTTAAGCACTGGACTCTTGGTTTCAGCTCAGGTCATGATCTTGCAGTTCGTGAGTTAGAGCCCCGTGTCAGGCTCCACGCTGACAGAGTGGAGCCTGCTTGGGATTCTCTGTCTTTTCCTCTCTTTGCCGCTCCCTGGCTCACATGATTGGTCTCTCTCTCAAAATAAACAATAAAGTTTATTTATTTAAGCAATCTCTACACCTAATGTGGGGCTCAAACTCATAACCCTGAGATCAAGAGTCACATGCTCTAGTGACTGAGCCAGCCAAGATCCCCAGAAAGGTAATGTTCTTGATCTGGGTGCAAAGTAGACAGGAATATTCAATTTATGAAAGCTGTTACTCAGTTTATGTGACTTTTTCTCTGTATTTGTTTTATACTTTAGTAAGAGTTTTTATCTTAAAACAGGTCAGCAATAATTTGTTCTTTTTCATTTTAAGTTCTGAATGATTTTATTATCTTTCATCAGGCCCTAGGATGACAAAGATTTTATCCCAAAAGAGCTACAAATCCTCATCATTTCAGCACTAAAATCCACGAACAATATCTCAAGTACATGATATAAAACAGAAGGAGACATGCTAAAAAAGAAAACCCCAAGAAACCATATGTCTATCAAACAGTTAGTCAAAGAGACTTCCCAAAGGAGAAGAAGCACTATCCAATGAGATAGGAGCCCCTGACCACTGCCTTCAAATATCTGGAGGGTGTTTAGGACTGACACTGTCGGTTGCCTGACCCTTATCCGTTGTTCCTGAGCAAAAGAATTCCAATTTTATTTGGAGTTAATAATGAACCCACATCACAATTTCTCACTTAGATGTAGCCAAGTGAAAAAATGACTAAGTTCCAAACCAAGAGATAATATTGTCTAGAACTTCCAGAAAAGCTGCTCAAAGGGAGGTGTACCCTTTCTTGCCCTTCCTGCCCTCCTCCTTCCTGCTGTCTAGAATATGCATGTGATGACTGGGGCTCTAGTACCCATCTTAGCTCATGTAATGGCCTTAAGATTGGAAGCAATGCACTAAGGATGACTGAGTAGAAAAACTAAAGGAGCATGGGTCCTTACTTAGACCATAGAAACACCAAATCAGCCCTAGACTGTCAACTTCTAGTCTCCTTTCATAAGAAAGAGAAATAAACTTCTTTCTTGTTGAAGCCACTACTACTTCCAGTCTCCATTATTAAAAGCCATTCCTAGTACATACAAGTTGGAAATGAAATTAAACATAAAGGTCCATAATGGAACTCATTATGAAAACTTTTCTTCCTCAGAACTTTTCATCTCCTTGAATGCCACTCTTCTTCATCCAGTTGGACAATCCCCAAACCTGAGAACTACATTAGACTTCTTTCTCCAGATCTACTCAGTCACAAGTCCAGCTGATCAAGTCTATTTGGTATCTGTCAAGTGTTACCTCTGTTCTCTAGTACTCCTGATATTGCTTTGATTCAGGACCTCCTCAACTGACTGATTTTCCTGCTTCAATGTAAAACCCACATATCTACACCACACTCCTACAAATGATCTTCCACATTGTACCAAAGGAATCTTTCCAAATGGCCTATATTCATTTGGAAAGTTCTCTTTCCTACATAAAGTATCTAACTGATCCCAATGTCTTCAGGATAAAATTTTGATCCCTTTATATTGCATAGTATGCTCCTTTATCACCTTTTCTCTGCCTACCTCTTACCACCCCACACCCAATATTACATACATATGTCATTTGATCTAGTCCTATGAAACAACTTGCAGTTTACCAAATTGCCATAGTTTCTCATGCCTTTTTGCTTCTATAATGCTATCTCCTTTGTTAAACCATTACCACTGCTTTAACTGGCCAATTTATACTCAATTTTAAATGTCAAGTCCAGGTTTTCCCCAGACCAATGCTTACGCTCCAGCTTCAGATTGTGGGAAATGTTCTTCTGTGCTTCTCCAGCATGTACCATACAACATAACAAGAGGAGTGCTCGTTGTTTATGTAATCTCTCTTCCATATTGTGGGCAATTTGTTGTTTATTCCTAGTGCCTAATACAGTACTAGGGACACAGCAGGACCTCAATAAATACTGGTTAAATAGGTGAATGAATGAAATATACAAAGCCACAGCAGTCAGAACATAACTTTAATAACTGGCCAAACCTGACCATGTCGTAGTTACAGTCATGGCTAGTTCCCAGGTCGCTAGCTGAGAACTTCTGTCATCCTAGTCACATCCTCAATATCATGAAAGCTATCACCAGTTTCTAGAATCTACATCTTTATAGTCTCATCAAAAACCCCATGGAGACCAAACTTAACCTAACAATAAGTATAACTCAAGGGAAATTCTTGAAGTTGAATTACCTAAGGGCAGAGAGCCTTAGCTTTGTGTTTCTCTAAGTCTGTAAAAAAGGTGGTAAATGCCCAACAAAACATTATTTTATTTAGTATCTAAAACTCATTTTTCCCATTAATAATCACAGATTCCATCACTAAGCAAAAAAAGGACAAAAGGAGCCTTACCTATAGATAACAGAAAAAACTCTTCATGCTACAAATTCCAAGACCAAAAATAATTTTAAAAGCATTTCTGACACTAAAGATGCCTACCATACGTATTCCATTTGAGCATTAAAAAACTGTGAGCACTCCGAAATCTGGAATTATTTTTAAGCTCTACAGCATGTCAAAATACATTCCTACCAATATTATGACAACTATTATTTTTTAACACTACCCTACCTTTCTCTTGAGTTTCTTGTAGAGCTTTCTTCCACATTAGGACAGACTTTTCATATGATCCTAACAGGAAACACTCTTCACCTACAAAGTTTTTAACCAACAATCAGTCACAGTTAATGAAATTACTTTATAAAAATTTACTTCATTTTATTTATTTTTTTTTTTTTAATTTTTTTTTTTTAACATTTATTTATTTTTGAGACAGAGAGAGACAGAGCATGAACAGGGGAGGGTCAGAGAGAGGGAGACACAGAATCTGAAACAGGCTCCAGGCTCTGAGCTGTCAGCACAGAGCCCGACGCGGGGCTTGACCTCACGGACCGTGAGATCATGACCTGAGCTGAAGTCGGCGGCTTAACCAACTGAGCCACCCAGGCGCCCCAAAAATTTACTTCATTTTAAAATTCAGTAAATAAAGCTCAGCCAGAAACTATTTTGAAAAACAAATAATTGAAACTAATTAATAAAACAGAAGCCCAGTTACTTATATTGCTTATTCACAGAGTTAAAAAAAATGTTTGTAAATTACTGACCATTGATAGATTTAAGTTCTAACGCCTGGTTCAAGCGAATTCCAGCAGTCTGTAAGTTAGCCTGTATGTGACATAGCAGAGCCTTTACAGTAGATGCTTCCTGTGTCATCTTTTCAGTTAACTGTCTGTCACCATCAGGAAGTCTTTGATTTAACTGTGTTTGATACCATAAAGTTTTGTTGTACAACACTCTCCAGAGAACAGCCAATCTGCACACAAAATTAAGTAATCATCAAAACCAAATTTCAGACTAGGAATAAAAATATGTACAGCCTCCTACTTAGTCTTATTATTTCTGCCTGTATTCTTCATTGAAACAATAATATATATACAAACTGATCAGATTTAAATATAGCACAAAGTCCACTGATCAAAAAAAGTATAATACATTTTTTAAATCTTCATAAATCTTCATGGTCATTCTTCTATAGTCATTCTTCTTACCTAAACCAAAATCTTTCAATACTTGGGCATGTATCATGGCTGCCCAAGACTAATATGTCTGTTGAATAACATTTGACTTAAATATAAAAATCTATTAATGCTGACTGGTAAGGGATACAGAGTTTCTTTTTGGGATTATAGAAACATTCTGGAATTGGTGCTAAGAGTTCTACAGCCTTGTGACTATACTAAAAATCAATGAATTTTACACTTTAAAATGGTGAATTTTACAGCATGAGAATTATATCTCAACTTTTCAAAAAGGAAAACATCTATAATGTTAATGGTACCCTAATACAAAGTAATTATACCTGTGTCCTGGTTGTTGAGCAAGATTTACTACTTGAGGATGAATCTTGAAAGATGAACTCCAAGACCAGTTTTCCTGAGAACCACTATCTGGAAACATTTGAAAAATGGGTACCACCAATTTGTCTTGATTTGCTGCTCTACTTCCATCAAGTGACGTTGAAATAACTTCAGGCTGAAGAATGTATATGCCATTTAAATAAGCAGCTACCATTTTGAGTAAATGAAAACAAGCCAAAAGCTTCTCTGAAAATAACTGACCCTGCTGTTGCTGAATCAGCAAAAGCTTTATAGTATTTGAGGTCAGCTTTACCAAATGTCCCACATCTTGTTTGTATCTCATATCCCAATACTGGATTGACAAACACTGATGAAAAAGTTGAAAGATACAAAGTACCCATGCATTATGTCTTGTGCTCTTGCTTGAAAAAGGATCAAGTTTGGGGAAAGGACATCTTATAAACTGAAGAATGTAGAAAAAATGAGTGATACAAACGACTGTGTAATTTAACATTAAATTTTTTTCTGTTACATTTTTTGAAATTCCTATAGTCCATGCTGCAAGGAGATTCTTCTGGACAGAATGCAGTTCTGTAATGGTTCTGTCTGTCTCCTCTGTATTATCCTCTGCATGTATTGTATCAAACATAGACGCAAATTCCAATCTTCCCTCCTTGACATTACTGAACAATGGATCCTTTTTTTGGTTCCAAAGTGAGAATAAGTTGTTTGGAAAGTGTTTGCCTTCATTAGTTTCTTCTGCTTCAAAATCCTAAAACATGAGTGAAGAAAATCATGCTTAATTTAATATCTTATAAGTAAAATCACTGGTGTTCTCAAATTTCTCTCCCTTGAACAAGAGAAAAATAAAATATGTTTCTTGGAATAAAGTCAATATGTAACTGTTCAAAGTAAATAAAAGACCTACTAAGTACCTGAAAATCTTCTGCTTTTTCATTTAAGTTCATTCTTTCTTCTGCCTGTAAGAATCTGGGGACAGTAGAATCAGCTACACTTTTATTTCCTTGGTGTTTTAACAGGCTAGACCTTAGGGAATCCAGTGATCGCAAGTTCAGTCCTTTGCCCTTTGGCTGTAGAAGAAAAGATAAAAGACACCCAAGAGCAAAATTTTATCTGTAATTCTATCACAAGCAATTAAAAATTCTATAGACAACTATATACAATCCAAGGACGTTACTGTCAGTATGGTTTTAGATCTGAAAAGACAAGCCAACTTTTTACCAGCAATACCAAAAGCACTATACCTTAGACAATACCATACTTTGGTACATTTTCTCAAGCCTCTGGGTTGAATCAAGTAGAAGGGATCTCATGAGCACTGATGGAGAGAGGTTATCAAGAAATCGAAGGGTTGTGACCATGTATCCATCAGAAATAATGAGGTAGGGTAATCTTGAGTGTGCTTTTATAGAAAATCTCTGTCTCATAGGGTCACTATCAGAAGCTGTTGAATCTACAGAATTATTTGAATCTTGAAATGTAAGCTGCTGTGGTCTAGCAAACAAACACAAAATTGAAGAATTAGTAAAAGAAAAATCTTAAAGGAAACAATCAGATTATTCCAAAGAAAAGCAACACAATTAAAAGCTACAGAATGATAAAACAGCCAGTTAAACACACTAACATTAAATTGTATATATATGTAAGGAAGACATAAGTGATTAAATAAAATGTAGGTTTATGTGTTTTTTAAATATTCCCTGAATTGTGGCATTCACTCTATTTTGTTTTTAATTTAGTTTTATACAAACTATTTCAGAAAAGAAGGCAGTTCATATACAAACTATTTCAGAAAAGAATTAAGGCAGTTCAGTTTTACTATTACAGAGAATTAAGTAATTAACCTTCTTTCTTACTATATATTTAAATATACTTATAAGAATATAATTATGAGTTATGAATACATAATTAAGTAATATTAAATAATCAGAATCAGGAACACCACCATAACAGTAAGCGAGTACATTTACGAAGAAAGTCAAATTTAATCTTCAGCTGATAAAATTTTACCCACTACTATCTTCTCCAAATGTCTTTCTCAGTTTTTTCTTTCTCCTCCTTAATAACAGGTGTATTCATTACAGACATTTTTCTAAATTTATTTTTTTAATAATAAATATGTATCACTTATATAATCAGAAAAAGTAATCCATTTTAAAAGGCCCTAAACTGGGGGCACCTGGTGGCTCAGCTGGTTAATTAAGCTCAGCTCAGGTCATAACCTCATAGTTAGTGAGTTTGAGCCCCACATCAGGCTCTCTGCTGACAGCTTGGAGCCTGGAGCTGCTTCGGATTCTCTGTCTCCCTCTCTCTGCCCCTCCCTTCCCCACTTGACTCTATCTCTCTCAAAAAAAAAAAAATTAATAAGCCTTAAAAAAAATTTTTTTAAGTCCTAAATTGGGGTGCCTGGGTGGCTCAGTGGTTAAGCATCTGACCCTTGGTTTTGGCTCAGGTCATGATCTCATAGTTCATGGGTTGGAGTCTCACATTGGGTTCTGCGCCCATGTAGTGGAGCCTGCTTGGGATTTTCTCTCTTCCTCTCTCTGCCCCTCCCCTGCTCATGTTCTCTCTCTCAAAATAAATACACTTTTTTTTTAAAAAAGGTCCTAAATTAGTTTGTTGTTTTTTTTCCCGCAGACTCCACGCCCAGTGCAGAGCCCAACTCTGGGCTTAAAATCACAACCCTGAGATCAAGACCTGAGCCAAGACCAAGAGTCGGATGCCTAACGGACTGAGCTACCCAGGAGTTCCCTAAATTAAAGAAGACTACGAGGCGGGTGCCTGGGTGGCTCAGTCCGTTAAGCATCCGACTTCCACTCAGGTCATGATCTCCTTGTCGGTGAGTTCTAGTCCGCATTGGGCTCTGTGTTGACAGCTCAGAGCCTGGAGCCTGCTTCACATTCTGTGTCTCCTTCTCAGCCCCTCCCCCACTTGCTCACACATGTGCGCACACGCGCTCTCTCGCTCTCTCTCACAAAAGTAAATAAACATTAAAAAAAAATTTTAAATAAATAAGAATATGAGGACATTCAAGTCAATTATAAATTGGACCATAAAGAAATAAGGAAAAAAAATACTTTCACTGCAAGAAGTGTCAATTTTTTTAAAAGATCTTATTGTTAAGTAATCTCTACACCCAAAGTGGGGCTCCAACTCACAACCCCAAGATCAAGAGTCACATGCTCTTCCAACTGAGCCAGCCAGGTTCCCCAACAAATTTTTCACTTATAATTTTCCAGTGCTAAAAATTAAGCATCACTTTTTGCTACAAATAATCAAGGACAATCCCTCAATCTCCTTTCTGTGAAGCAATAGCAATGGAGTGATTTCAAAATCCTTTTCCAATGTTTTTATTTTGTAAATACCTATGTGTATATGTCAGGTCATATCTAATACTAACATCAATAACAAAAATATTTACTAAGCACTTATGTCAGAATTGTGCTTATTTATAACCATTTATTATTTTACTTCATTCCCTCAACCCTAAGAGACAAATATAGTCATTTTCACTTCCCAGTAAAAGAAAAAGAGCTTAAGGTATAACTTACCCAAAGTCATACAACTAATAAGTAGAAGAACGAAGATTTAAATTTTGATCTGACTCCAAAGCCAAACTGCTACCCCATCCCACAATTAAAAATTAAAACATGGCTAAATTCTAAATTCTTCTATCCATTTCCAACAACTTTTCCCCTTCTTCCCTTTGGGGGAAAAAAAAACAGATAAATCCATGTGCCAAGTTAATTTTGAGTTACTCATTTATTTAAGTGGCTTTCTTTTAAAGAAACAATAAAAGACATATCACACTTCTTTGAATTTTACATAAAAGAAGACAAATGTTTCAGTGCTATTGAATATTTAAATAACTTATACTTACTTAGTCACAATGTCATATTTTCACCAGGATTTAGCAACAAAAAGAAATAGAAGAAAACTATAAATAAGAAACAGATATTGAAAGGACAGACTCAAAGAGAGCAAAAGACAATTCGAAAGATGAAATTATTTTTTAAAAATACACAGTAAAGTAATACCAAAAGAGAAAACCTTCTACAAACAAATTAAAATAATTCAAATGTCTCACCTATATGTTATGAGTGGGTGAAAAGGAATAAATTCTGCTGGCCCAAATTCTATAGAGCAACCAAATGTAATTAATGTTACCAATTCACCTTGACAGGTCAATAAAACCAGGGAGCCACGTTTTAACATACAAGCCAGAAAAAGACTATCATGAGTCCAGCTGATATCACCTACCCAGTAGGACCTAGAAAAAGCAAGACAGTATGTTTAGAAAGGACTCTCTACAATGTCTTTGACAATTTAAAATGGCCAAGCAGAGTTGAAACACTTCAAAAAATAAGGAGGAAAGAATGAATAGTAGCAAACTGCCACATACATTTCGTGTATTTTACTTCCCAGAAAAAAGGTAAGGAAAAAAAGGAGTTTGCTCATCAACATCTACTCCATAAAACATACAAATAGAAATTCACGTAGACACATAAGCAAATGATAAGATGAAAATAGTCCCTAAAAGAGTTAAGCTTTTTAGTCACTCACATTTTAATTAGAACAACTTTAATTCTATTGGTGTCTACAACTCAAATCTACTGATAGATTTAAAGGTCAATCAATACCATGCCTGCCCTCTCTCTGCAGCTTGCTAGAGGTTCCATGCAGCAGCAGACTCCCTCTTCCCAAAGTCATCCTTACAGCTCCTTAACTATCTAGTAATATTAATCTTTCATGGAGACAAAAAGTAGATCCTTATGTAAATAATGACGTACACTCTAAGTCAAAGAGACCACTGCACTGAGACCAGCAATTCATTCATTTTTTTTTCTTTTTCTTTCTTTCTTTCTTTCTTTCTTTCTTTCTTTCTTTCTTTTCTTTTCTTTTCTTTCTTTCTCTTTTTGAAGTATAGTCAAGACACAATGCTACATTAATTTCAGGTGTAAGAATGAGTAATACCTTCAGAAAAGAACTTTTGGGTGGGGAAAGAAAATGAAGAGGCAAGACTAGATAGATCTGAAAACTTTGGAAATTCAGAGAACAGCAAAGAAAAGTGTTCAGAAAAGGAAATTAGGAAGTCCAAGAGGAAACCTTCCTACTCTATAATCCCAAATAGATCCTGGTAGAGGCTCTTGTGCTATCAAAAATCCTGATTATTGCTATTAACCCACATGCAGAGCATGCCAACTTTGTTTAAAAAGCTATAAACACCTCAGCCACCCCAAGTATATAATGATCTTCCCAGTCCAGGTTTTCTCATTTCAGTCTCTAATTAAGCCCCATATCCCCTATCCAGTTATGATTCCACTCCTCCTGAGATAACACAGAAAAAAATAAAAGAGAAAAGAAAATATGTTCATGTATCTTCCACCCTACCAGATCCTTCCGTAAGATAAGATTTTCCTTCATATAGCAATTAATCAAGCACAAATGCTGAAAGTAAGCTGCATTATCTACCTAAATATCTATTTAGATATCTTTTGTATTATCAGAGCCTTAAACTTATTAAACTATTAGAAGAGAAAATAAAAATGCTATGCAGAAACACAAGAGTTCATACCTGATAAGTGTAGGTGGAACCACAGGATTCTTATTACTACACCCTCTCAGGCTACCACAGAGAGTAACAAAATTCAACGTGTTTATAAACAATACCTGAGTTGCCTAGAAAGCAAAAAAAAAAGAATGCAAAAAAACATTAAAATTATTTTACTTTAATCATTACTTATAATTCTAGAGACCTAGAGACCTATTATTATATTAATAAACTATCTTGGAAATCTTTCCCAACTGGCAAAACAATACTGAAAACTGAAACTCCTCACTCTTTTATACTATATTTTAAGGACATGAGTTACCACTTTGCCCTTCTTCCTTTTTGTTACCCTCTTTTCACTTCTGAAGGCCAAGTTTTGAAATTATAGCTTCTGGATAAAATAACTTTATGTTAAAGTTAAACTGGATCAGAAAACACCACAATGTTAAACTGGATCAGAAAACACCAATATAAAGAACATAAAGTAGTATTACAAAACAACTCCAAATTGAACTCTTTCATAGGTTACTTTCAAGACAGATTACATATACTGACCTTTGGGTCTTTCTGATTAAGAGTTACTGCCAGAGTAATGCCATCTCTTGAAAAGGCAGAAATTAGAGCTCCTCTTGACTTTACCGATTCACATTTGGGAATTAGATGGCACAGAAGGCAGTCTTGTTGTGCCCAATGAACATGGTATGGCAACGATCTAAGTAAGTAATGAAATAATTGAAAATAGGAAATATAGTAACTTTTAATATTTAGCTCATCATAAAAACTTAAGGGTCCAATTCCTATATGTGCATGAATATTAGAGGCCCTCTTAGCAACTGCTCAGAATTTTCATCCATGCCACAAAAGAGCAGTTGCCAGTTAAACAGGTTCAGTATCAGCATTTTGTTAGTAATGGCTGTTCCATAGTCAACCCCAAATGCATCTGTTTTGACAAAAGATTTAGATGACACATATTATACATCACTGTGAACATTTTCACAGAAATTAAATAGAGAAGAATGGATTTTTAAAATAGTGGCAATGTTCTGGGGTACATGGATGGCTCATTCAGGAGAGCGTGTGACTCTTGATCTTGGGTTTATAAGTTCAAGTCCCATGTTAGATGTAGAGATTACTTAAAAATAAAATCTTAACTGGCTCAGTCAGTTAAGCATCTGACCCTTGATTTCTGCTCAGGTCATGATCTAAAGGTTCTGGGATTCTCTCTCCCTCTCTCTCTCTGCCCCTTCCTCTCTCTCCCTCAAAATAAATAAACTTAAAATAAAATAAAATCTTTAAAAAATAAAAATAACATAGCAGCAATGTTCTATATTTGGTATATGGTTACACACATGTATATTTATTAGAGTCCAACTCATTATACACCTAATATATAAAGTACCAGAGCATAAGAAAATTAAGAAAATTTTAAAAATCACACTATTTTACTAAATCTTACTGATGCATGATATGCTTTTTTTTTAAAGTTTATTTAGAGAGAGTGCATGCTCACAAGTGGGGGAGGGGCAGAGAGAGAGGGAGAGAGAATCCCAAGTAGGCTCCACACTGTAAGTGCAGAGCCCAAAGCAGGGCTCGAACTCATGAACCATGAAATCATGACCTGAGCCAAAGTCGAGAGTCCAAAGCTTAACTGACTAAGAAACCCAGGTGCCCAGGCATGATATGCTTTTAATGCACTATGTATTTTATTGGGCTTTGTAGTATATATGAAACTATTTCTAGTTTAAAAAGTATGTGAGCAAGGGTGCCTAGGTGGCTCAGTTGGTTAACTGTCCGACTTTGGCTCAGGTCATGATCTCACAGTTCATAAGTTTGAGCCCTACATTAGGCTCTGTGCTGACAGCTCAGAGCCTGGAGCCCACTTCAGATTCTGTCTCCCTCTCTCTCTCTGCCCCTCCCCTGCTCACACACTCTCTGTCTCTCTCTCTCAAAAATAAATAAACATTAAAAAAAACAAAAAAACTATGTGAGCAGGTCTCCTGGGTGGCTCAGTCAGTTAAGCATCTGACTCTTGATTTTGACTCAGGTCATGATCTCACAGTTCATGAGATCAAGTACCGAGTTGGACTCTGCACTGACAGTGCAGAGCCTGCTTGGGATTCTCTCTCTCTCCCTCTGCCCTTCCCCCACTCATGTGCACACATTCTTGCTCTCAAAATAAACATTTACATAAAAAATAATAAAAAGTACTTGAGTAGTTAAAAGGTACAGTAGTGGGGCGCCTGGGTGGCTCAGTCAGTTGAGCATCCGACTTCAGCTCAGGTCACGATCTCGCGGTTCGTGAGTTCGAGCCCCGCGTCAGGCTCTGGGCTGATGGCTCACAGCCTGGAGCCTGCTTCCGATTCTGTGTCTCCCTCTCTCTCTGCCCCTCCCCCATTCATGCTCTGTCTCTCTCTGTCTCAATAATAAATAAACATTAAAAAAAAATTAAAAGTTACAGTAGTAAATTCGAGCTATATCCTTTTTAAAATTCAATTATTTCCCAAAATACCTATCTCTATCATTTTAATACAAGCAAGACCATAGCCTGTCTTACCTTTTACATCTTCTTAATTCCATGAAAGGAAATAAAAATGAGAAAAACCTTGCAGAACCTGCTTCTGATCCTCTGTTCCCTCCCTCTCTGCCCCTCCCCCTGCTTGTTCTAAAAATAAACAAAACATTAAAATGAAAACTAAAATAACAACAGTACTTATGGGAAGAATAGATCTGTAAGGTCTCAAAAGTTCAAATTTACATTTCATTTAATTAATCTTATGTATTTATGGGTGAAAAAATAATAATATTTTAAAAGGGACAGAAAATAAGGAAAAAGAAAACCTTTATCTCACCTTACAGGTGTAAATACATTCTCATGCCACCGAATTGCTAGAAATGTTAACTTCAGACATTCTCCAGAATAAAAAGTAAATGAACACAAGCAGCAATCTCCAAATAACTGTAGATAAATTTAATAAACTTTAGTATACAATTAATCCAAAAATAAACCAAGATATGTAAAACATATATTCTCATCATAAATAAAATAAATGAAACATACAGAAATCCTGCTTGTATTTTTATTCTTAACATAAGGCTAAAGAATAAGTAATTTATTTCTGAGCCAGGGCATGGACCTAATGGGAAATCAAGGTGCAGCTTATTGGCTTAAGAAAACATACTGGGGCACCTGGGTGGCTCAGTTAAGCATCCGACTTCAGCTCAGGTCATGATCCCATGGTTTGTTGGTTCGAGCCCCACATCAGTTTCTGTGCTGACAGCTCAGAGCCTGGAGCCTGCTTCAGATTCTGTGTCTTTCTTTCTCTGCCCCTCCCCCGCTAACTCACACTCTTTCTCACTCTCTCTCAAAAATAAACATAATTTTTAAAAATTAAAAAAACACTGCCAATGAAGAATAGACATTTTCCCAAAGAAGGCACCCAGATGGCTAACAAACACATGAAAAGATGCTCAACATTACTCATCACCAGGGAGATACAAATCAAAACCACAACGAAATACCACCTCACACCTGTCAGAATGTGTTGTAAAATTAACAACACAAGACACAACAGGTTTTGGCGAGGATGCAGAGAAAGGGGCACACTCTTGCACTCTTGGTGGGAATGTAAACTGGCACAGCCACCCCAGAAAACAGTATGGAGGTTGCTCATAAAGTTAAAAATAGAACTATCCTACAACCCAGCATTGCACTACTAAGTATTTACCCAAAGGATACAAAAATACAGATTCAAAGGGGTACATGCACCCCAATGTTTATAACAGCATTATCAACAATAGCCAAACTATGGAAAGAGTCCAAGTGTCCATCAA